GCAAACGAAGGTGATGGAACCTACTATCAGCATTGATACTGGTTGTAAGAACTAATGGTACGCAACAGTGTGAGTGGAAACAGCACAACTCATAACTTGCAAATACAGGAGGGTCATATGGCAGTTTCCCTGACTAGGGAGACCCCACTATAGACCCCAAAATACTATGGTCCTTGTTATGGGGACCCCCAAAAAGGGTAACCCCAATTTTGGGAAACCCCATATAGCCAGAAAGAGAAAGCAGCTTGCGGACGAGGCTTGAAGAGCTTTACGCCAGACTCGGCGAGGAGCTCCCCATGGGTGTGAGGCATGGATCGGAACTTTGTAGCAATGCAGGCGGTTGCTTGGAGGGTCATGGACTCTTAGTAAGTAGGTTAGGAACCCCTATGAGTCATATAATAACTCCAATTATCAAGCTACTTCCTAAGTCCCCATGACCCTCCAAGTGGGCATGGTTCCAAAGGATGGCATTTGTTCGGAGCGCACAAACCGTGTCAAGCAGAGTTGTACACGTTGTGACACTGGCACCTGAGACGTTCTCTCCAGGTTTAGTGCGCTCCAAAAACAATCGAGCTCCTTGAGCACCAGGAAAGCCTATTTGCTAGTATTAATCATTAGCCGTAGTGACAGTACTAGGTGTTTTCCTGCTGGCTAGTACTCTTAATCACTTCAACTAATTGCGATTCCTGCTCTTGAGCTGCTTCGATGACAACGGCGACAACGCCTCGCCATCCTCTTGCTCCTCCGACGACGACGCCGACGACTAGCACCACTATTGCTTCTACCAGTGGCAGCCGGCGAAAACAAGGATGGTCACCCACCAAGTGTGAGTGCTCACAACCAGGGCTGCTCACACTGGCTGACACTTCCTTCTGACAAGCCGCGCTTGATGGTTCTTGTCTTCAGGGGCGTTTCATAAAAAGGACAAAGAGGGTCCGAGATGGGTGGATCAGGAGTAGATACCCAAGTAGCCCCTGGAGGACCCAGATGGCCCGGGCATGTGCTCTGGAGGGGTTGCAGGGAGATACTATGACCGCTGCTTCAGGTTGAATGTCATCACACAGGCCTTCTTTAAAGGAACTGGGGACGCAGTAATATGCGTATTGAATCACCCCATGGCGTGCGCACCATTTTAGACGCTTCCTAACCAGTCTTGACCTCCGGATTCCTTCAAAATTGTGGAGGATAGGCTGTAGCCCCTGAACCCTCATGGGTAAACCCAAAGCCCTAGGCCCCTGAAGTTCTTAGAACCCTAAACATGACCTATGAGACAGGCTGGCAGACCTGAAGAAGCTAAAGGAGCTGCAGGCAGATGCGCAGGACCGCAATGCTATTGGGGTTATTATTGGGATAAGGGAAAAGAAGATGGAAACTACTATCATGGGGTTATATAGGGTTCAGGGTTTAGGGTTTAGGATTTAGAGTTGGGGTGAAATTGGGAGAATGGAAAAGGAAATGGAAACTACCATAGTATATTGAGGTTATGTTGGCAGAGTGGAAAAGAACATGGAAACTACTATAGTATATTGGGGTCATATTGAGAGCATGGAGAAGAAAATGGAAACTACTATAGTATGTTGGGGTTATATTGGGAGAATGGAGAAGAAAATGGGAACACTACTATTTTTGTTTTAGGGTTTAGTTTTAGGGTTGAGGGGCCTCGAGTCACATAAGATTTTGTGTCATTCCACCACTGCGGTAGCTCCTTGAAAGTAGTCGCCAAGTCTCTTGATAGTCCCGGGGCTCCCCACAAGCAAGATGAGCGAGCATTTGGTTGGAGCAAGGACTTGCTTTCGGATGTTTCCAAAAACAAATGATGCGGGGCTACATGTGGAGTCTCTGGAGACCACATAGGGGTTATGTAGATTAGCATAAGTTATAGACACAACAATCCTTGTCCTACAGTGTTCAGCGATACGGCAAGTGAACAGTGCTCAAGCTGCAATAGGAAGGCACAGCTTCTTGATGGGCAGCAGGTTCGATCTCCGCTCAGACATATTGACTCGAGACTACTTTTCAGATGTTTGCTGGAAAAGGTTATGTACCCTATACGTGACACAAGTTCCAAGCTCGCCCGTTGCAGAAGCGCGTTGACATCAAGACCGGGGGCCCTGCAGTGAGAGCAGCTGTGTAGCACTGGCTCCTTACGGCCAAAGCCTCTTGCCGCAGGATGCCAATGGCATGCACCCTTCCTAGAAGGTTGCGGCACATCTCGCAAAACAGATGGCAGAAAATCAGAAAGCCCCGTGCGGAGTAGTCTGAGTCGTCTCTACCTGCAGGTTATTGCAAGATGTGGATCCTGAACGTAAGGCACGTTACTGCGTCAAGCATTCTGTAGCAACAAGACAGGATGGATCAAAGAACTGCGGCTGCATCCTGCAAAGCAACTGCGAAAGCTTCGTTCAAATGGAACAGTGAAAATGGGCAAATGATTGGCGGCAGAAGTTAGAGGGACACATCGTAAGCTCACGGAGAATGCTCCGAACCCCTAAAGTCATAGCGGCGCCAGCTAGACTGCTTTGGCACTTTTCTTGTTGGCTACAGGCCGAAGTGCGAGCTCGTGGCAATCAGCGCCTTCTCGTTTTGAAAGGTCGCCGGAACTGAAGTTGAGTCCTATTTCAGACGGAAGTATGTCACAAGTCATCATTTGCTGTTTTGCGAACCGGTGTAGTTGCGCCCAAGTCTACAGTCATCGGATCCAGTGATCTGCACACATCGCATCTGGCAGCCGAAGAGAAACAACACGCAGCGTTCTACATCTTCAGGGAATCATCCGTGTTGCTGGATTATAGCGGGGTTCTGTGCCAACCTCCATGCAACCAGAGCAAAACTCGAAGAAAACTGCCTTGACGATGCACGCCATGGCAAAAAACCGTGGCAAGAAAGTGAAAGAGGGCAAGGCAGCTGCATTTGTTCTTGGCGCGCATTCCCCAACACCCAGAAGAATCCTGCAATCACTGCCATTCGCTGATTGAATTCATGTTTAGAGCCGCTTCTAGCTGTTAGCTGGCGTCTTCAATCTTATGGCGGTTTTCGGGGGCGTGACGTCACCTGCACTTGCGCCTGCTGTAAGCTCCCAACTAGCAGAGCAGCTCAAATGTTCCAAGTGCGCGAGGCCAAAGCAGCGGCTCTTCACTTCAGAAGCCAGGCCGCTTGCTCCAACTTGACTTAGCGGTGCTTAAGGGAGAGTGGGGGATGTATGACGCGCAGTTTTGATATCGGCCATAGGAAATATGTTACATTGGAACTGCGGCTTTTGAGTGGAAAACGATAACACTCTTGCAATTTTGCAAGGCCCAGTAGCCCAGACGACAAATCAAAATCGGGCACCGCATGAGCGTATAATGGAATCAAACCCCCCTATTCACTCCCCCATTCCTTTGAACCACCAGTGAGTTCATAATAAAGCTGAGATCTGTTTCTTGCATGGCGCAGCAGGGGAGTTGCGGCTTTGCTCAACGAAGCGCGCAGACTTTGCGCAGGGTGTTGCTCACTTATTCATACACACGGGCAAAATCTCAAACTGACAATTTCTCGCCTCACTCTTCACGTATCAACGCCTTGCTGACAGGTACGCGGTGGCAAGGCGCAGGACAGCCGGGACGGCAGCCATGAAACAAACACAGGTCCGAGCTGTACCGGGGTCTGTTTCATTTTGCACAGAAGCTGCTGGATTTGGAGTGGGCCCGTGGCATGCGTCGTAGTCATTTGGCTGCATAGAAAGAGTTGCATGCGCCATTCTGCGCATGATGTGTGCGTGAAATGGGTGCAGGATTCGGATATTTCTTAGTTTGTGCTCGTCCTTTTTGCTTCGCAATTATTATTTTTTCTCTCTCTCTCTCTGTGTCGCTCTCTCTCTCTCTCTCTCTCTTTCTCTGTCTAATTATTTCTAGTCTACGCAGCTTCTGAGACAGTCTGCTTGGCATATGTAGAAAACGTAACACAGGACATAGGAAGGCGATTCAAACTTCGCGGTTGCTGTTTGTGACAGGCGCCCGCAACTGCTGAAGAACAGTTCTGGCCTTTTTGCAAACTTGCATGTAACTGAAAAAGTCTCGGTCCGTTGCTGCAGCGTCATGTGTGGAGGCTCGCTACCATTTTTGTCTACAGCATGCCATTCATAAACACGCCCTTCCATTTCATGTAGCTGTAGCGAGTTGCACAGCCGCTGAGGCAGCAGCAGAGCAGCGGCTCAACGGTTTCGTAAATGCTGCAGGTGTATGACATGCAGTGTGCCTGTGGCTGTGTGCCGGCGCTCGGCCATATAAACTTCTTGGGATGGTTCTCAGGATCGCGGCCCCTTTATCTTATTTAGTGCGCATGACACGCGTCAGTGTAGCAGATCCTCACTTGTTTAGTGTTCTATTTGGGGATAATATGCTACCCAATATAGAGCAAGGTTGTATCATTTTGGGGTGTATAATATTTCATAGAAACAAGATAATCTTACTGGGTTCAACCACCAAACGCTGCTACTACGGCCATGCAGGAGGCTGATGACTCATTTTGCCCAGGCTCCGGCTTCGGCGGTGGCGTCATCATCGGTGCAGACTCCTGCAACAACAGACGAAACAAAGTCCTTGGGGGATTTCTATAAATTGCGGGTTCCCATCTCGAGTCCCTTTCTCCCGGTACTGCGACACTGGACACGTCTCGCAGTAACGGCAAACATATCTGACTCATTGCACCTAAGCCAGGCCTCTCTTGCTCGCGGTGCCCGGGCACGGGGCGTTTTTAACTGGGAGGCAGGATTGTGTCATGTTTTTTTCTGTTGTTTTGTGTGGGCCACACTCATGGCCTGAGCAGAAAGTGCCAGAGGCACAGCTTTTGCGAAGGAAAATATGTATCCGCAATCCGTATACCCAAGGATCCTGACAAGTCAGACTGTCCCATTGGGCTTGTCCTCCCTTAATGTTGCTTATTGTCCTTGTGTCGTCTGGCTTCAATGACGCGGTGCCCAGCTTTATGTGTTTGCGCGCGCGCTCCACAAGTGTAATTTAACGGCTTCAATTACCAACATTATGGTCCCAGATTCGCTGCATAATTATTGTATAGGATATGTTAGGGCTCAGACTTCAGATCATTGGCAGTTGCGTAGGCTCCCCAGTACTCGTTTTCAAAGTGCTTGCCAGGCCTTGGGCGAAGAGATTCGCAAGCTCATGTGTTGCGGCTCTTGCCGATGAGGCAAGTCGGTCAAATTCTTCATCGGCTAGTCGGCTATGGTCGCAGAAATCCGTGCTAGAGTAGAGTAGCCGATTACAGTTCCAGAAGTTGCATCGGCAGCCAAGTCAACGTGCCATAGGCGGCAGAGGATAATCCGGATTTCTGGATGATTGATTGTCATTCCATGCGCATTTTGCGCCCTGATCTGATCATTTTGGATTGAAAAATTCCTTGCTATGCTTTGTGTTTGGCGATGACCATCATTGAGATACTATGACCATAATCTCTGTTCAGGAACGACGCCTTTAGATGCATGCATCTTGGATCAGGATCATATCTTGATTATGATCGCCGAGTATTTTTGAAGCTGAACTGATAAAACCACAAACTTCATTGAATATATTGAGCTGGCCAATAAACCCTGGCCTGGCTAATATTTTCTATGAATTCACAGGCTTCCAAAGAATTTCCTGGGACCAACCCAAAATTTAAGGAAAATCCAAAAATTATGGAAAATGTTGGCTTTCTGTGAATCCCTGCGAGCAAATAAGGGAAATAGCATCTTGGCTAATGGCTTCGATGAATTCATGATCTTCTAAAGATTCTCTTGGGACTAGTCCAAAATCTAGGAAAAACAAAAAAAATGGAAATCGTTGGCTTGGCAAATATTCATCTTGAATTTTTGCGAGAGAAAAACAAGAATAGAAAATATTTGTCTGATTAATATTTTTCTATGAAATAATATTTTTCTAAAAAATCTAGGGAAATCTGAAATCTAATTAAGAATTGCGGGGAGAAATTTTATAATTTCTCAATTTTTATTTTAGAGATGACTTGGATTGATATTCATCTGTTTTAAATTTCATTAGGAATGAAAAAGATTCTCATAAATTTGGATTTTTATTTTAGAAGAGAGATGGCTTCATATATTCTTTCTAAAATTAATTAAGAAATAAAAATGAATCTTGGAATCTTAGATTCTCATTTTACGCTTTTCTGGAATATTTAAGATCTAGTTATTGATTATTAAATATTCTCGAAGATAATTTTATTTTATAATTTTATTAAAAAGGAAAATGAAAGTATGATAAGATGCGGATTTAGAACTTGTCGTTCAAAATTAAGAGTTTACGTAAATATTACTATTCAAATTTTGCTAAAATGATTTTAAAAAAATATCTGATTTATTCTTAGTCTCTTGGAAAAAGAATTTGGGATTCTCTTGTATGAATATTATTGAATGATCTCTATTATATTCTCGATTAAATTTTCTAATATTTTTTATTATGGCTATTATAAAATATGCGTTGAGAAATAATCTAAATATTAATTTCTATTAATAATAATAACTAAAAATTATATAGATAATTTTTCTTAATATAATTTCAAGAGATTCTATAATTAGATAATTATTAATATATGGAAAATATTGATTAGGATAATATATTCTTTGCACTTCTACGGAGGAATACTGATAAATATTGGCTACGCTAAGAATATTTTTAGAAATTCGATATTTCATAGAAAATATGAATTAAATCAGTATTTCTATATTTTTTGTTCATTGGAATTCATAGAAAAATATGATAATTTGATTTTAGCTGGAAATAAATTCTTCTAAAATACGAATTCAGGATTTTAAGATTCTATCTTATTTGATTAGAAATTTCGAATAGAAATTCAAAGATTTTTAAGTATCGTCGCTAAAATTAAATTTCGAGATTTCTAAAATTCGTATTTAATTTCTTTTTATTACTATATAAAGCCAGGCCATTTCTAAATTTAGATAGGACTTTCTCATAATTTTCAATGATATTTAGAAAGGGAATTTAGTTAGAATAATATCGCTTCCCAAAATTGGAATTTTAATATCTTAAAAGAATATTCTTTAATTCTATTTTAGCTTTCAGAATGAATTTACTTAGAAGAATATTTTTATTATATTTCTATGATTCTAAGATCTCTTCTTTG